GCTCCTTACCGATAAGCACCAGGTACCATATCTCATGCTTTCTCTGCCAGCAGTTAGGTGGTGCTGATCTGCTTTGTGGGCCAGGAAGTAGCTAGCGATCTATCCGGGCTCCTTATCCCTTCTACTCTAGAGGCCTGGGGGAAACTGAGTAAAACAACCCTTAGACCTGAACTTGATGACTGGACGCCGGGCGGCGCTAGCGCATACTGTCGGCAACAGAGCGCCTAGGGACGCACAGACACTCTCCTGTCCTGTGGAAAAACACCCCGGGGCGGATTTCAGCAGCTTCCTGAAAATTCCATGAACCTGCCCCTCGCCGGATGCCGGGCCCCCTGCACTGGCGTCCCCCACCTCCACTCGAGGGGCCCGGCACAGGGTGAGGAGCCTTTGGAAGGCGCACCAGGCCCGAGCGGTGATCGCGGTCGGGGACCCGGCCAGGCGTCGCAGGAAGGCGGCCAGGCCTTGGTAGTCGCCTCAAACCCCGCCCGCTGCTGGCACCTCCCAGGCGGATCGGCTGCCTTGCTGGCCTCCAAACGCTCCGCGAGCCCTAACTCCCCCTCTTTTCGTTTGCCTAAGATCCCGGGTGGGGCCACAGCCCCCAAACCGTTTTTCGATAGCCGGGCCTTCTCTTTACTGCCACGTGCGTCTCAGGCAAAAGGTTCGCAGGTCAGAGAGGCAGAGTGACCCCTGATATTCCTGCTGCTCTGACCCTTGGAACCTGTTATAGTCACAGTCACGTGCTGTGCAAGCGACAATACAGGTTACACCTTTTGTAGAGCGCAGCCACTGGAGCTCAGAGCCCTGCAACCCTCCCTGCGCGGGGGTGCCCTGAGAACCGTTCAGCAAAACGGGGGCGAGCAGTAACCCAACATCTGACCCGGTTCAACGTGCGGAGCAACACAGAAACCGCGGGGTGTCGGAGTTTGCAGAAGTCAGCAGCACTTGCGGAGACACAGACGACCTGACAGCTGCCAGAGGCAGGTGGGAGGCGCAGAGGGCCACAAAGCAAACCCGCTTGAACTGCGAGCTACTTTGCCCGCTTTCAACGAAACGCACTGCTCAGGCCCAAGAGGGTTGGGAAAAGTTCGTGGAGGAGAGCGAACAAGAGTCACTGTCCAGACCCCGGACTTGCAGGAGAGCGGACGTCCCCTTCTCTGAGCCTCGAGAGCATCGTCCATCAGGCGTTTGTATCAAACAGCGGCAGCGCCGACTCCGAGAGATTTCTGCAGCCTTTATAAGGGCAGGGAAAAATAAAAATGAAGCACACACCCACAAACTCTGCTTCTCTGGTTTGGCATGGAGAACCCACTCCCTTTTCTTCTTTTTCTGAGTTACATGAGTTTGCTCGGAATCAAGTCTTCTGGTCCACCTAGGATATAGTCAGCAAGTACTTTCTTCCCCCTGGATCATGATTCACTTCCAATGGCTCCAACCTAAGCCGAGAAAACCCTCGGGACGCCTATTGGGCCGGCCCGCGTGAGTGCGGTGTGCCAGAAGTCCGTTGTTCAATGGACGCTGGTCAGTGGTGGCCTTTGGGCTCATTCTGAGAGTTTCCTGTCGATCTTCGGGCACAAAGGCCTTAGACCATTCCTGTCCAAAAGTCTGGGGCAAAGAAATCCTGTCCGCGTGAGCTCATGGGGCGCACCCAATACTGCTTTCCAGACTGTCCGATGCTTCTAGGGAACCTTCCAGCGCAGCTGGGAATGCAAGGAGATGTTTCAATGAATCGCAAATTCCCAACCGGTTACAAAAGTTTCCTCTGTCCTGGCCATCAAGTACCCTGCCAGTGCTCGCTGAAACAAACTTTTAGTGCAAGCATTTTTTGAGTGGACGACTGGGTGGAGGAAAACGCACAAGGCTGAAAGCTGAGGTCAAGTAAAGACCTAAGGCTTGGTACCACACGCCTGCGGAGCAGCTGTTGTATGTGCTGGAAGTCTGAGGGTCACGGCTGGTGTCTATCAAATCCCCACCCAGACAACCTATGTTCTGTCCTGTAGCAAATTCCGGGAAGAAGGGGCCAGAAGGAGACTGCTAAGTATGAGGAGACCCTAGCTGAGATTCTAACCTTTTTAGGGCAGGCATTCAGTGGCTACCACCCCACCCCCAGCTGCCCAGAGGTTCTGACCCAGACCTGCTAGAACTGGTTTGTGACCAAGGTGGAAGGAGGGGTTAGCTAGGATCACGTCACACTCACACTGGGTAATGGGGTAACAGTTTTTTTTTTTCTGTGCTAGCTAGGTAATGACTTTTCATCTGGCACCCTGGGAGGCAGGTGGCCTTCTGGCTCGGCCTACTCCTGAGAATTGCCTGGAGTCTCCAGGCAGAACTGGTGAAAGAGCTGTGGCGTGGGAACCGCAGGGAAGGCTGGAATTGTGGATCTCCAGAAAGACACAGAAAATCTGCCTGCCGGCAGCATTGACAGGGCCCAGTGCTGGAGAAACCCCATCAATTGAAAGCTTCAAAGGCCCAAGAAGGGGCAGGTTTGTGGTCAAGTCAGGGTTGGGGTTCAGAGAGCATCCTCCTTGGCAATGATGGTAGGGCCAGCACTGGAAGGGATTAGGAAGATCATTGAGACCCCAGCTAATAGTGGTGAGATGGACCCAAAGTCTTACACCAGGAAGTAACTGACTGGTCCAGCACCAAACCATGGTGTTTCTCCCCCTCTCTGGCCTTTTTTTTAAAAAAAAAAAAAAAACAAAAACAAAAACACCATGGATGTGACCAGAGCTGGGATCAGCTGAATCCTTTTTAACTGTGCAGCTGAGGAGAGACCTTGGAAAAGATAGGTCACCCTTAATAGCGAGATATGCTCCGAGCCCTCTGCCGTTGGGTAATGCATTTTCCAGGTCTCTCAGGATCCTCATAGCTCACTCAAGGGCAAGCCCCAGCCATGGGTGTTCAGAGATACACTAAGATCTGCCCTACCAACACACAAGTGTACAATGATGGCATCTGAATTTCTGCAAGAACTTAGTCTCCCTGGGCCGGCTTAACACCTACTCAGGCAGTCCTGTGTCCTCAACTCAAAGGGACAGGCCTGGAAGAACTAAAGTCTTAGGGAAGTCTGAGTGCTCCACTCCCCAATGCTTGCGTCACCACCAAAAGGCTTTTGGCGTTCTGGAGCAGAGGGGAAGTTTAGGAAATCATGTTGGATCCTTAAATAAATAAATATGTACCTCAGCCATAAGCAACTGGCAAAGCCCAAAATCAAAGCTGAGGCTCTAGACGCCCTCATTTTCAGTATCTGTCTCTCTGTCCCCCTTAGCATGCTTACAGGGGTGGTAACAAAAAAACGAGGCCTAGAAGTTATTCGGCAAACAGACCTTGCGATCTGGGCTGCCTTGAGTCTTGGTATTGAGAATGCCAGTAGGAGCTTGCAGCCTGAAACCTGGAGGGGAGGGGGCAAGGAGCAACGGATAAGCAATGGGCAATGGACAAGTTGGCAAGGAAATAAGCCCCGTACTTTTCAAACCTAGAAACTTCAGGGACACCCCCTCCCCTGTGCGCAGTTCCCGGAGCTCCCTTGTCCTTCTTGCCCCCCCCCCCCCCCCGTGTGTGTCTCTCTCTCTCTCTCTCTCTCTCTCTCTCTCTCTCTCTCTCTCTCTCTCTCGTTTTGTTTTTCCAAAGAAGCAGCGCCACGTGTTTTCTAGAGGTGTTCTGACAAAGAAGCTAAAAGCTCCAAGCCTCTTCTAAGGCCTCTCATGCCGGAACTCCACGAGGGGTTCTCAGGCTGAAGCGACCAGGAATCCTGGCCCACTGGAGAGGCTGGAAACTGGTGGACCTTGCCTCCTCTCTCTTGCGCACCAGCCCCTTGGGGAGCGCTATAATCATCCTGCACTGGCTGTCCTGAGCTCCCCGAGGACAGTCTGCGGGTCTAAGCAGTTCCTTAGTTTGCATCGTTGGCCCTCAACTTCCGCAGAGGCCACACCAGGACTGCCGGGAGTTTCTCGGGTCCTGGGCCCCGTGGGGTTAAAGTCTGAATCCCAGCCTGGCGAGGAGCAAAACGCGCCGAGTGGAGGCGGTACCGGCCGCGGGGCAGCCAGCCGGCTCCGAAAGGAAGGAAAGGCGGGATCCTCCGGGAAGTTGATTCTCAGGCGTCCAGCTGCGGCCACTGCCAAATCTCTGACTTCGCTCCCCACCTCCTCCCCCTTTCCCAGGAGGACAGCTCGGGCCCCGGGTTTCTAGCATGGGGGTGGGGCGTTGTCAGTTGGAAAGTCAAGTCTTTCAGAGGCCCCCTAAGAAAATCCAAACTGTCCATCCACTGACCTCCTCCTGGGTTACAGTATCTCTGCCTGACAGCTGCGACCTTCCGAGCGACGCGATGACCCAGCCAGGGCTGAAGCACCTGGCGAGGCCTGGGCTACGCTGTTGCGTTTCCCTTTTAAAAAAAAATGAAAGAAAGAAAGAAAAAGAAAAAAAGAAATATACCACACTTCTTCCCCTTGGAGGCGCCTTCTGTTCCCCCTTTTACTCTTTCCTGAAAGGCACCCCTTTAAACGGTCCTCCGTTTTCCCTTCTACCCTCTTCCTTCCCTTCCCACCTCGGTCCTCCTCTTTTCTTCGGGGGCCCCCACTCAGTCCCCCTCCTTCGGAGTCCTTCTCCTCCTCCTTTGCTCTTTGGGCGTCCGCCCCGTCAATCACCGCCGTCTCGGGCCCCAGCCCGGCCCCTCTCCGCCTCCCAGGCTCTGGGAGTGCCTGGGGCTCCTGTCTCGGCCGCCCTTTGCTGTGTGCAGAGCCTGAGCGATCTGTCAGCGGAGCCGGCCAGGGGGGAGCAGCCCCGGCCGCCGGGGCTCGGGTTACCGGTGACTGACAGCGTCTCCATGGCGAATAATTTGACTCGACTATTGTCTGGCGCGGGCAGGCCCCGGGTCAGATAACCGGACCAATCAGGGCGCGGGCCGCCGCGCCTCATGCCCGCTTAGAATAATATTATTAAAAAAGCTGCGAGCGAGCTAGACGGGAGGGAGAGCGAGCGAGGGACTAGGGAACAAGCGGCGGGCGGGCGCGGAGCATGCGGAGCGGCGCCCCGGGCGGCCCCCGGGCTTGGGCGCGGGCGAGGCGCGCGGGTGGCGGGGGCGCGGAGCTGCGCAGGGCCGACGGCGGGAGCGAGGACGGACCGCAGTGACTCAGGAGTCGCCCGGGAGCCAGCGCCTGGCCAGGGGGCCCCGCCCGCCTGTCGGCCCGGCCAGGCCGGCGGGGAGGCGCCCATGCGGGGCCGCGAGGCTCGGTGAGAGCGCGCGGGCAGGCGGGCGGGCGAGCGCGCAGCCGGCACCATGTCCATGCTGCCCACCTTCGGCTTCACGCAGGAGCAAGTGGCGTGCGTGTGCGAGGTGCTGCAGCAGGGCGGCAACATCGAGCGACTGGGTCGCTTCCTGTGGTCTCTGCCCGCCTGCGAGCACCTCCACAAGAATGAAAGCGTGCTCAAGGCCAAGGCCGTGGTGGCCTTCCACCGGGGCAACTTCCGCGAACTCTACAAGATCCTGGAGAGCCATCAGTTCTCGCCGCACAACCACGCCAAGCTGCAGCAGCTGTGGCTCAAAGCGCACTACATCGAGGCAGAGAAACTGCGCGGCCGGCCCCTGGGCGCCGTGGGCAAGTACCGCGTGCGACGCAAGTTCCCGTTGCCGCGCTCCATCTGGGACGGCGAGGAGACCAGCTACTGCTTCAAGGAGAAGAGCCGCAGCGTGCTGCGCGAGTGGTACGCGCACAACCCCTACCCGTCGCCGCGGGAGAAGCGCGAGCTGGCGGAGGCCACCGGCCTCACCACCACGCAGGTCAGCAACTGGTTCAAAAACCGGCGGCAGCGCGACCGGGCGGCCGAGGCCAAGGAAAGGTACGAGTAAGTAGAGCGTCGGCGCCGGTTTCCCTGGTCCCGATGGTCGGGGGATGGTGTGCTCCTGGAGACGATTAAACTGGACCCGGGTCCAGGTTACCCCGGCTGCAGCCCAGCCTGGCTCAAAACAGCGCTTAGATCTTGCTGGAGACTGAGTGGCCAGGAATTTGTCTAAAGCGGGCAAAGTAGTGTGTACATTCTCAGCTAATTCCCTTGTCCCTTGTGAATGGCCTATTTGGATAAATAATTTCAGAGAGGGCAGGGGTGTGGGCCTGGTTGCCCCTGCAAGGTAGATTTAGGCTCGGGGCCTGCTCTTCCTCGAACAACCAAGGGTATGGGGGATCGGAGATGATTTCGGATGTCACCTCTAGGTCAAAGTGCTTTTTAAGGAGTCAGAGCTGGGATTGGAACCTCCCTAGTATTATCCGAGCAATGAAGATAAAGCTGAGGACAAGGGAGTTGGGAGTTATCCCGCGTGGAAAGGACCAAGAGATGAAGGGCCCCCGGGAGGAAGTGTCAGCCGTGGGGGAGAAGACAAACACAGACCTCTTTTCTGGCCTGCTGAATCCAGCAAGCCTTCTAGGACTTTCCAGACCCCTTGACCTTTTTCTCATGGGGTCCTGCTCTCTTCGATGGGCAAATCGGGTGTGTAAGGTAAACTGAGATCTGCCAAGGGCTGTGAGTTGTATTTTCCCTCGGAATCCAAGACTTGCGGAACTAACCTAAGCGTGGAGGCCCTGCTACCCGCTTCGAACTTTAATCTGGATGAGGGGACTGGAGAAAAACGGGGAATGGGAACAGAATCCCTCCTTCGCGGCAAAACAACAGTTAGGCGGTTTGGGATGTGTGCATCTCAGAGTTTGAATGACCCTAGCCCAGGGTAAGGGGGACAGTGGGAAAGATGAGCAAACGGCAGAGTGGACCTGGGTATTTAAAACCTTGACGTCGTACTTTTTGTGGTGATGAAGTCTCACTCGCTCAACAGCTAGTGGGGTAGATAGATGCTCCCTCAGGAAATCAGACAGAACAGCTGTTAGGAATCCACAGAGATTTTACGTAGGATTTCAAATACTCAGCACCCCTCCAGGGACTGTCCACAAAAGCAGGACCGAAGGCGGGCTCTCGATCTGGGTTCACACTCAGGCTGTCTCAGCTAGGGTTTCTGACCAGGCCCCAGGTAAGGGCTACAGATTGTGTCCCCGGGTTCTGGCTATGACAGAAAGAGCCAGGCCAGCATTAACCACTGGTCCTTCCCTCTAGCTTTCCCCAGGGGCTGCTCTCCATTCTGAGCTTCTAGTCCCCTGGCTAAATATTTTTCAGCAGATGGCTAGGGAGAAGTCCTCCGTTCTCAAAGCCTGATCCTTATGCCCAATCAAATAGGGCTCACAGAGGCTCAGTTTGGAATCCGGGAACGAATTCTCAGGAGCCCCCACCCACCCTCCCACCCATGCCTATCTGCAACCAGAAGTTACCCTCGGGCTGAGAAAGGCGAAGGGGAAAGGAGGCCCATGCCTACCCAACTCCAAGTGGGCCCCTCAAGCTGGGATCTCCATATCTGGAACTTCTGACCCCACTTCTACCCAGCAAACCTAGTTTGTCCAGCCTAAGTGATTTGAAAATTCAGGCTCCAACACCCCATTCACCCAATTCCTGGCACCCTGCTTGGTGCCTCTGCTCGAGGGAAGAAATAGAGTGGGAGCCTAGGACAGGACATATAGAGAGAGTCCGAAAGGTAGTCATGAGATTAAGAACATAGGTTGATAAGGAGGAGAAGGACAAGAGAAGGCTAGAGAGTCGCGGGGTTCAGAGCGCCACAGGAAACCAAACGCGGAGCGTCAGAAATGGTAGAAATCGAAAACACCCTTTAGCAACCTCAACGACACTGAGTTGAGCCCCAGGCGCTGACGTCCTGAGGGGTGGCGCTCGAAGTGGCCTCGTTTTCCCACTGACCCCACTGCTTTGCTCCTGCGCTTGCAGGGAGAACAGCGAGAACTCCAATTCAAGCAGTCACAACCCGCTGGTTTCTTCGCTCAACGGCAGCGGCAAGTCGGTGCTAGGCAGCTCCGAGGATGAGAAGACACCGTCGGGGACGCCAGACCACTCGTCGTCCAGTCCCGCATTGCTGCTCAGCCCTCCTCCGCCCCCTGGGCTTCCCTCCCTGCACAGCCTGGGCCACCCTCCCGGCCCGAGCGCAGTACCCGTGCCAGTGCCGGGTGGAGGCGGCACGGACCCTCTGCAGCACCACCACAGCCTACAGGACTCCATACTCAACCCCATGTCTGCCAACCTTGTGGACCTGGGCTCCTAGAGCTCTTGCTTTCCGAGCTTGGTGCGGGCACAGAAAAGGTGGTGCGGGAGAGCGATAGGTGCTGGACTCCGTACCAGGTACTAGAAGACCGCCATGCCATGCCACGCCACGCGACGCAGGAGCAGCAGAACTGGCGGCGGGACAAAGTGGACAAATGTCTGCTAGGGGACCCTCTGGGGGATAAGTTGCTTTTGAGATATTTTCGAGGCCAGGGACTCGGTCTTGAACCAGGCAAGGGAATAAATTATAAGCCGCAATCACCACCCCGATTTTTCTCATCTCTTCTCCCTTCTTTCTTTCCTCCACTTGCCTTTCTGGTTTCTTATTTCTCCTCTGTGCCTTCTTGCTTGTTATTCCTCTTTTCTCTTTTCCTTCTAAATGTCTGGAGTAAGCTCTCAATCTCCCCCCCCCCCATTTTCTCACATCATACTCCAAGTCTTTCTTCCTTCTGGTCATTTATTTGAGCCACTTCTTCTCTAACTCTCAGCGAATCCATATGAAGGAAGGTAGACATCCTGGGACTTTGGTCCTCAAAGACTCCTCCTCTCAGTGTGAGCCTAAGTGCCAGCTAGAAAGGACTGCACCCCAGAAGCCCCCCTCTCTTTCTCCCCCTCCCTCCCTTCCTTCCTTCCCTCCCTGCCTCTGGCTCCTTCCACCTTTCATCCTCCCCCTCACCCCCTTCTTCCCACCACACTGGTTCTTCTCTTCCTTCCTAGACGGTGGTCTCTGCACTCCCAGCCCAGAGCGCCTCCCAGCCGCAGACTTGCCTTTCCCCTTTTATGCCCTCATGTGAATGTTCGTCGGGAGATATTTCTGCTTTTATTTTATAATAAAATTAGAAATCATAAATATATGGATATGTGCCCCAAGGCCCGGCGGCCTGGCTTGTAACAGAGTCTGATTTCCCTATAGGGACTAGATTCCCCGGGGTGAGCGGTTCTTCACGGTGATATTGGGCAGAGTCCTGGAAACCTGGACTGGCCTTCCTTCTTAGTGTGTCTCTCGCAAGGTAAAGGGATGAGACTGAAAACACGGAAGCCTCCTCCTATTAATACCTTAGTCTCTTTTCTCTGCTGAAACAAGGACCAGACTTCCAGCTTCCACCACAGCCGCCACAGTGGAGCCCCCACCTGACGTTCCCCCCAACACACACACACACACACACACACACACACACACACACACACCACCGCTGGGGTTGTAGAGGGAATTGAGAGCCTGCGTACAGAGGTAGAAACGAGTTTGGAATTGTGGGGTATGGGAGGGAAAGTTTTGAGTCGGAATTACTTCTCAGCATGGTCGAAGTCACTAGAACTGGAGACGGCAGTCCATGGAGATTCGCCCGACTAGAAGTATCGGCTGAGACCTGTGTTTCCAGAGCACACCCTTGTCTAACCGAGGAGGAAACATCTCTGAGTTTGGCTACCTGCCCTGGGTAAGGTGGAAGAGAAGGAGAGTGGACCACCAGCCGAGGGCCAGTGTTGTGGATGCTAGCAAGCGGGTGCAGAGGCTCCTAGGGGCAGACCTAGTGGCTCTTGAGTGTGGGGCGCTAGCTGCAAAGAAACCTACAGTATTGTTTTTGGTCTGTAGTTCTAGCCCCCTTTTATCCTACAAGTCCAGACCGGCCGAGACAGATCCAAATCAGGCCAGACTCAGGAGGAAGTTAGGGGCTTCTCAGTATTGACTCGCAATAGCAGTGACTGCCTGACTAGGAACAGGGCTATCAGGGGAGCGCCTGCCCACCGTGGGCTGGATGGGATGCTAGGGAAGAGCTGGACCTTCCCCTGGACCCTATGACCTCTTCAGAGTTTTCCTTTCTAATAAAACCAACACTTCCTGTTTCGACCATAAACTCATCAGACCTCTTCTCTCGGATTTTTTTTTTTTTAATCAAGAGTTTCTTCTCCCATGACTCAGGCAGTTGAATGGGCTAATGGGCTAATGGGAGGTTTCACCCATTGTGCGGCCTGGAGTTCAAGGGGAATTCACAAACCTGGAAGACTCCTAGAGGCTGGATTCCTCTACCTGGGCCCACACCCAGGGCCCCTCCTCTTCCGCTCCAAAGAGAAGGCCCAACCCTGGGAGCGTCCTTGGCCTCTTGGGGGAAGCCCTTCTTTCCAGAAAGGTCTCAAGTACTCTCTGGAACTGGTTTGCTCTCCTGCAGACTGAGCAGCTCAACTTCCTCTGACTTGAGGCAAGCAGAGCTAGCAGCTACTGCCTGAAGGTCCGTCTGGAGAGTTCCAAATGGAGCTGCCTGTGTCAGCCCACTTGGCCAGACTGCCTGGTGATGTCATAGTCCACACTTCTGCACAATCACTTGGCTGGATAAAGAAAATGCAGTAGCCTCTGTGTTCCAAGTCATCCCTCGCACCACGTTCACAGGAAAATGGGCTGTGAATTATCACATGAAAAAGAAGACACACATTTAACTTTGGTTCCGGTCACAATTATTTGGAGCCTGCTTTATTCCATTCATTTTGATTAGCACCAAAACCAATTATGATCGTCGCTGCTTCCCAGGGAAACGGACTGCAGCATCCATGTTAATACCTGGAAATAGATGGCAGCAACATCCTTGTAAATTCTTACACTCAAACACAGAACCAAGCACTGGGTATCTCAATACATTACCACACAAGCATGCTCCCTTCTTGATCTATGTGTATGTAGTACACACGTGAACCTGTCCAGCATACACACAACATAAACGTATGTCAAGCGTCCCCCACACCAGGATTCTCTCCGAGGAACATTAAAGTCCACAACTGTCCTCTGCCACCCCTGCCAACTTACAGTCCCTGTAGGATGACCTGTTGAGCAACGTCTTGCAGAGGACCTTTCTGGAAAGGTCTCTGTACCTAGCTACTTCGTCACAGAGACAGAAATGATCCCAGCCAAGAGGTGGCAGCTGATCAGGGATCCATCAGAGACACCCTCTCTAGTGTCTTCCAGGATACAATTCCTGCTCTAAGAAGCTCCCGAGTGCCAGCAGGAGGCAAAGGGCCAGTTGCAGGGCAATATTCCATAAAGTGATTACAGAGCAGTTCAGCTAGATGGATCGCCCTCGTTCCACTCTTTCTCCACCAGCTAGCCTGTGTTTAAAGACAAGTGCGGGGAGAGGGTGAAGAAGTTCACCGCATCTATCAGTACAAGCCACTCCTACTGCAGCTCCTATCATAACACGAAAACTGGACATAATAAACAGATACTAACTGTATTTAAAAAAAAACCACCCTTACCAGAATCTGTGGAACAAGATTCTTAGGGACCCTCTTCCATCTACCGCTTAGAGCCAGCCCCTCCCTCAGCAGTCAAAGAGTTTTGCCCTGGCACCTGGGAATACCAAATCTCCCTTCCTGCTCCCCTGAGAGTCTGCTAAAAGATGTCCTTTAATTTGTTCCTAAGCAGGTACCCACTACGACTTTGTAATGAGACCACAAATGAAGACAGCAGGATCCAGTCACTAAAGGACAGCTGACAAGACCTGAGAAAAGAAACTCTCCTTTGGGTTTAAGAGCTCTGAACCCAGGGGATCCAGAGGGACCATCCCTCTCCACCAGCACCGGTGGTCTTCTAGAGTACCTGAGGGGCATCTTAAGGAAGTGACATCCGGCCATGTCTGCGGAGCAGTTGATGATTCCGGTATCCACAGCCAGGAAAGCATATCAGAGCCAAGAAGACTGGAGGAGAAAAGCAGAGCCTGAGCACCTACGACAGAGCAGAGAATCTGAAATCGCCTCCTCGCGCACCAACCCCACGGATCTCACCAGCAGCTCTTTGGCTCTCAGAACATGCAAAAACCCTGGAAGACGGACACCAAAGCTTTTGTGTTTGAAGACCTGTGTGGAAAGACCAAATTGAAACTGTCCCCATTCTGTCCCTCTGACTTATTCAGCCTTCTGAGCTAATTGACTAAGACCTCATGAATGTTCTTAAGGATGTGAGACCAGCAACTGTGTGCCAGAGGATGGTGTGACCAGACCTGCCTGCAGTAGGCTCAGAGAGTGACTGCAGGCAGAGGAGAGAGCAGAGTGCCTGGGCTGACCCATATCTGTGGCCACTCCTTTTCTCAGCGCCTCACCGCTTCCCGCTACCCGTAGCAAGTTAGCCCTCACTGTCTGCTCCCCCTGGCCACCTTCCAGTAATGTAGAGGAAAGGAAAAATTCCTATTCCTGAGTTTAGGGCTGTTGACCCCAGCTGCTGTCCGCTGCTCCAGAGGAGTCTCTTGTGAAGATTCCAACGGTGTCTGTAAGATTGGAGTTGGGAAATAATTTCTCCATGGTGGAGGGTGAAATCCGAGTGTAATGGAGCAGATTAAACTCACAGATTGGAGTCACAGCAAAAGTGTGTCCCACCCTGCTTAGATGATTGGTTGATGAGAAAAGGCCTCCTGACACAAGGAAGGACATTCTGAGAGAAGACCCTCTCTAAATACTCCTAACCTTCGCCCCTTCCTAAGATGAGATCTAGCATAGGCCCACTGGACCTGGAGCATCTGAGTTCCGAGGACTGCCTCGCAGTAGCCCTAGCCAGTCTTGGTCACTTCTGTCCCTAATCGGCTTTCTAGGGACCACTTGCCTGCCAAAATAAAGCGAATCTTTAGCATCAGGGCAGACTGACACCACCGATTGCGAAGAAGCTTAGGCACTCCACCTTCTGAGCTTGTGCACTCAATGGGGAAGACAGAGGTTTTGGAACGCAGTAGAAAAGTTCACAAGTCAGCCATCCTGGAAAGCCAGGAGGGAGGGAGGACTTTACCTCCACTTTCCCAAGGTACTAGGTTCCGTTAGGCCAGGGCCTAGGATTCAAATGCTTTCTCCGGATCGGAATCTTCCCCTCCGGTACCCCCCGCTGGCATTGGGGCTTGACCGCCGCCGGAGGGTCTGTAACAAGAGCGGTGATTCGTTCGGTAGAAAGTAGCCGCGAGGGTCTTTGCGGTGCCAAGGCCTTTTATTTATTCCGTTTTACCGGGACTTTAAGCTGGGGCAGATGTGTCTATCCAGGCAGGGGCTCATTCGCCCAGTTCGTTGTTGGCAGAATTAGCGAGTAACTTGTGAAGACGCTGTTCTATAGTGATTCATATCAGCTTCATCATCGCTGCAACTTTACAAGCACACTGTCATTATTGGCAAGGGGAACTGAAGGACCAGGTTAGAGAATTTGCATATTTGAAATATGTCTTTGAGACTGCAGCTCACGGTCTTCCTCCGAGGGAGCGCAGTGTTCAGAATTAGAACACTGGTTCCCTATCCTTCATCTCTGAGTGGCAGAGATGGCGCTGGTTCGGTAATTGGAAGACTTAGGGCTAGCTGCAGCCGAGGCGCAGCAGGTTAAAGTCAAGGGAAAGAACTTAGCTCTACAACTGGTTTCTACCGGAGCCCTCCCTCTAGCAGGCTGAGTTGCACCGATTTCATCCTCTGCTGGATCCCCGGAGTGAAAATAAAACCTTGAGCCCCAGGGTGAGATTGGTGACGTCCACTCCCTCCGTTTGTGTCTCCTATCTCGCCCGCCCGGGCTATTAGGCTGGGAAGGGAAGGGTGAGGCTAACCCAGCACCCTGAGTTGTTAGGAGGATTCTCGTAGGTCCTACTCTGGCCCTGTGACGTGGCTCTCCGGGCAGACAGCACATTAAAGCTGCCATCCCATTTATGCTGTATTCCGCCAGGATATGAGGAAGGCCAGGATACAGCTGGCCCATCCCGGTGAACTCCTTTTCCTCGCCGGCCTCTCAGAAAGCAGTCGCCCATCCCCTTCTCAGCCAGAAAGGGCATTAGTGGTTCACACTCTCCCGCCCTCCCCTTTACACTTGTCAGTTTCAAGACAGAGTGTGTAGCATCTTAT